GGCTCTTCTCCTTCATTACACAAACACAACACCTGCCAGTGCAAGCAAAGCTGGGCCACTGTGTACTGGTGTCTGCTCTAACACACAAATGTTCATACACGCTCCAAAATGCCTTGCACAAATCTTGCAGATGAGGCAAACTATTTATAAGCAGGAAAACTAATTGTAAGCAGGAAGGACAAGGAGGTGCAGGGGGAGGGGAAAAAAAAAAAAAAAAAGAATTTGCCTGAAGCAAGGGAACCACAGAAACGTGGACAGAAGTTCAATGTTCTGACTGCCAGCCCAGTGTTCGCTCTCAGCACTGTGATCTCTCTGTGTCCTTGTCCATCAGTGCACCTGTGGGATTTCAGTTGGGAGGCACGTCGGGGAGGGTACAGTGCTGAGATACGGGAAGGCAGCAATGGAGACAGTGAGCTGAGGAAAGCTGGGAAGGGGGAGCCTGTACCTAGAGGTGTGTTGCTGCTCTTGCAATCCATCAAGCTGGGGTGCATTGTCCCCTCTCCTCTTCCTTCTCCTCCAAACCCAGAGAAAGTCCTTGCAGTCCAAGTGACCACCCAGCAAACAGACCATGGTTAAGCTGCAAAGAATGAGCTTATACCTCCTAGAGAAATAAAATCACATATTAGGGATAGGCAGTGTTCTGCTTTGTGACATACATGCTTAGTCTTGCCCTCTGCATAAATTTGAGTTCCATGCTCCGAGGCTTTCATGAAACTGAAGAGGGAAACAGTGAGCTCCCTCTTTCTCCTCTTATCCACATCACACTGATGCAAAGTGAACAAAGCACAGCAGCAAGGGGTGATAGGTGGGGAATCTTTGCTCCCTGAGGCAGATCAGGCTCACCAGCACCTGCCTGATACTGGGAACAGGCACCATCTGCTCCTCTGTTGTCATTTACTTAAGGGCTGAGGGGACTTTACAAAATCCAATGCAATGTGTTAAATAACCAATTTTAGCAGGCACTGGGTTTCCCCTGTAGAGTAATGGTGTGGCACTGCAGGTTTACTATAAGCACTCCAATCCTTGCTGGCAGCTGGCATCTGCTGTCTGATTAAGATTTGCAGAAGCAGGTCTCCAGTGGCCAGTTTCAACACGGATTTAACTTCACCGAGGTCAAAGGTATAACTTGAGGGAGGAACTTTCTTGTCCAAGATCTTTAGTTAATAGCATCCTGCTAATTATGACTGAGTGCTAGGCTCCTGGCGAGTCCCCTGCCAGCCCTCAGACATTAACCGCTGGCTCGGGGGCTGTTTGCTGGGGAATATCTAGCAGAGATGAGCTTTGTGCCTGAGCTCCTCTGCTGCTGCCTGAATTGCCTGAAAGGCTTTTGCGTACAAAGGCTGCTTCAGGAGAGATCTTCATCTTTCTGTGGTTTAGTCTTTTGTCTGGCGACACTCGAGGCTGCATTCCACAGCCAGCATTCCGCCCACAACCCGTTTTTGTATTTTTCAAAGGGGTAGGCAGTGGGTGGAAAGAGCTTCATTTATCTGTTTGGTGGGTGGTGGCTTGTTTTCCCTTTGTTTTTTCTCTTTCTGGTTGGTGAAGCAGATTCTCTGCTGGGCTGGAGTTGTTCCTTTGCACAATTCTCTTTACATGCTGCAGACGTGGATCTCAGCTCATGAAACTGCATTTACCTACTACTTCTGGATGTCCCCTCTTGATCTGAGTTAAATCCTGCCTTCAAATGTAAAGTGCAAAATTTTGCCCTTCAAAGTAATTCCTCCGGTGGAAACGGTGGAAACTTCCAGATTTACATTCCTGAAAACAGGATTAATCCTCTCGAACTTGAGATGCTGCCTTCCTGTGTTTTTAGTTGTCAGCTAAATGTGGGGCTGTTACTCTGTGGTTAGAGAAGGTGAGAAGAAAGTACAGAATCCAAGCCTGCAGGTTAATGCAATAAATCTGTCCATGATGTGTACAAACAGGTGATTTCTGTACAGAATTAAAATGGACCAGTGAGATTGTCTCAGTTAAAGGAGACAGAAATGTTTAGCCAGGAGGGCGGAACATGGGAAACAAACCCAAGCTCCTCCCTCTGAACAATTAGAACTTCGAAATCAAGAGGCTCCAGCGTGGAAAAGAAAAATATCAGCTCTTTACTAAAGAACGGATATGTCTATATCTATATCTATATCTATATCTATATCTATATCTATATCTATATCTATATCTATATCTATATCTATATCTATATCTATATCTATATCTAATCTATATATCTATATATCTATATCTATCTATCTAGATAACACAACAACCCCCCCCCCAAAGCCACAGTCCCGTAACCAACCAACCTCCTTCCCGCCGGGCACAATCCCGCCCCTCCGGCTGCGGTGCCCCCTCAGGGCCGGCAGGGGGCGCCGTGGGGCTCCGGAGGGGCGGGGTCTGCGGGCGCTCCCCGGGCCGGCAGGGGGCGCCGCGGGGCGCTGGCGGCCCAGGCGGCGGGAGGGGCCGAGGGGGTTCGGGGAGCGGGAAGGGGGGAAAGGCGAGGGGGGGCTTCTCCTGTGGGCTTACGCTGGGAAAGGCTTGCTGTGCCTTTGGATTCTGTGCCTCGTCAGAGGGTGCCGGCTGCTGCCGTCACGGGAAAAAAAGAGGAGGGGAAGGGCGGCCCTTCTCTCCAAAGGCTCCTCCGCGCTAGCTTTTTCGGCGAATTCGAGGCGAAGTCCAAGCAGTGCGGCAGAACAGAGTGTGAGGACTCAGATGCGAAACGTGACCTCCCTCGTTGGGGGAGGAGGGGAGCAGAAGAAACCAGCCACCCGGGCGAGGAGATGAACTCCGAGCCTTCCTCACCACACGCACACGTCCCCAGCGTTCCCGGAGGGGAAGAGCCCAGCCTAACCCATCCAGCCCCACCCCGAGCTCCTCTCAAAAAGCCAAAAAAAAGGGAAAAATAACTCCCTCAAAATCAAGCATCTCCTAGATACAAGATGCCACCCCTCCCTTCTCTCTCTCACTCCGCTCTTCCCAAAGTCATTAGCCTGGAATGTGCGGCTATTTAACTAGTCCTTTTGTGTGTGTGGCTCGCTCTGGCCGCCTCCTCCCCCCTCCCTCCCTCAACACCTTTCTTTCCCAGTGGTAAAGGGAAAAAATTCAAAGCAGGTTTTTTTTTTCCTTTGAAACAAGAAAATCTATGACAGGGATGTAAGCTGCATACAGCCATTAGGTGGTGTTTTATACAGTGCGTCAGAGAAAGCTAAAGATGCTCGGATGTGCAAAATTAGCAAAGACCTGAAGCTTCAAGTAATATCACATCGACAGACAAGTTTAGTGGGGAGGGTTGGAGAGAAGGAAGGAACAGAATGAGACAAAAGAAATGAAAATCAGATCCCTTGTCAGTAAACTGGTTGCATTTTAAATGGAAGGTGCTGTGGTTACAGAGAACTCAAAGGATGTGTAGGTGACCAATAGAGAAAAGAATGTGCTTAAACATTACAGTTACTGCAGGATAATTTTTCTCCTGTGTTTAGCTGAAACTCCAAGCACAATAACAGGAAGCCCACACCAGTGAAGGTAGAAAGGAGAGGAATTTAAGGAGGAGAGATGTATGGAGGTGGATTCCACCTGAAACAAAGCTCCCCATAGAGCTATTAGGAGCTCTGGGACAGGGAAGGAGCTGTTGTTTGCTGATCTTGAATAAATGTCAGAAACAAAACCACACGTTTCTGAAGTGCAAAGTGGGAGCTGGTCTCACAAAGGCATCTGTTTGCTGACAAGGCTTGTGACCACAAACGTAGTATTGTCCTTTCCAGGGGCAAGAGAAGAGAGACAAAGACACCATGGCATGAAGGAGTAGGCTGCGTTTATTTTTCCACCGATAATACCACCAACAGGACAAGATGGCATGCTCACAGCACCAGGGCTAGATGTTAACCTGCTTTCCTGGAGAGCTGTGCTGGGGACTGTGTGCAGCAGGAGAAAGAAGAGTAGATGTTCTGTTCTGTTGGTATTTATAACTGAGATGTAATCAGGTATCCAGCAAACGCTGACCTACATACTAGAATTACATTGCAGAGACCAAAAGGCCTGGCAAAATGCAATCCAGAGGCCCAAATAACTTTCCCTATGTTATAAAAAGTAACTACCTTTGTACACAGAAAAATATGTCTCACAAAAAAAAAAAAAAAAAAAAAAAAAAAAAAAAAAAAAAAAAAAAAAAAAAAAAAAAAAAAAAAAAAAAAAAAAAAAAAAAAAAAAAGGAAGGAAAAAACCAAACAACAACACAAACACCAAAACAGACGAAAGAGAGAGAAGCAGGTGGCACTCTGAATTTCACATGGATCCGAGCAGCTGTTCGGAAGAATAAATCTGTGAAGGCAAAAGTTTTGCCTTGGGCAGCCAACACATTGCATTACAGCGGAGCACTGGAAGACAGTGTTTAAAATCTGTACTGCTGATGTGGCATTGTTCTTGCCGCGAAGGTACATGCAACATGTTTCAGGTAGGTGCAAAGTACCAAGCAGATTTATTCCCCCAGCACAAACCAAAAACGATACATGCAGTAGGACAGTAATATTAAAAAAAAAAAAAAAAAAAAAAAAAAAAAAAAAAAAAAAAAAAAAAAAAAAAAAAAAAAAAAAAAAAAAAAAAAAAAAAAAAAAAAAAAAAAAAAAAAAAAAAAAAAAAAAAAAAAAAAAAAAAAAAAAAAAAAAAAAAAAAAAAAAAAAAAAAAAAAAAAAAAAAAAAAGAGAGAGAGAGAGAGAGAGATACAATCCCCATTTGGATCAAGTAGTGGGTCCTAATGTAAGTCTAAAAAAACATAAGAAAAACTCTCAGCAACCTGAAATATGAGGGTTTGTTTTTTAAATGAGCCTCTCCTGAAGCAAGGACATTTTGCTGAGACAATTTTCTCGTCCCTTAAAGGCATGACAGTAATTTCAGGCTTCTACCAAAATAGAAATGTATCAGCAGTATAAAGGCCATGGCCAAGAGCCCGTGAGGCTGTGATGGTGTGAGCCATATACAGTGTACAAGGGTGTGCCTGTGCTGGCAGCATCTCTGACTGGAGATCTCTGAACACAGCTGAGACATGATTGATAGTGCTGCAAATGTGTTTCCTTGGCAGTGGGTAATCAGTGCTGGACTGCAACTTGGAGGAGCTGGGCAGGAACTCCCCTGCCTTGGCTCCCTCATAGGGCATCCCAATTAACACATTTGTGTTTTTCTCTATTCACTGGGACTATTGCTCTGTATTTTGGTGAACCCTAAGTGTTTTGCATGGTGTGAGGCTCCTTCAAATGGAAACAAGATCACAGCTGGGCTGTCATTCTGAAATTACCTCTTCCTGGGGGTGAAGGGTGCTATTCCCTCTGCTCCCCACTCCCCGTGGGACTGCTATAAGGAAGAGTTTGCCAATGAATATAAAAAGCTGGTGTTTTCACATGCATAAGAGGGTAAGTGGAAACACTTGTCCTTTAGTATCTTGGCTGTGGATAGTTTTTCCCTGCTCCAACTGTCTTGTGTGCCATTGGCATAGAGAGCTGCTTCAGAAATGGAGGTGTATCTTCTCCAGGACTGTGGGAGAGAAGGGAAGACACTTTCCAGTGGTGGTGAGAGAAGGGTTAGAGCAACCCAAAGATCTTTTGAGCATCTTTCTGGTAAATGGCATTTAAAATCCCTGTGCACCCCTTTCTTAGTACTGCTCTGTTGCCAGGTCTGCTCTGGTGACTGGGTTCCCTTTGCTTGGCTCTGTGGGGCAGGGTGAACAGGTAACACTAGGCAGACATTTTAGCTGGAATGCCAGCATGTTTTCTGTGAATCACACTTTCCCTCACGCACTCACAGCACTTGTGGCTTAGTCTTGGCATCTCTCAGGGGCTGAAGCAGAATCCTGAATGAATCAGACCTGAAGAGTCTCTGTCACCAGCCATGAGCAGCCAGTGTGGGCTGGGCAGGGAACCAGACTGTTGTTTCCCTGAAGAAATCTCTTGAAATAACCACAGTTACACATGCCTGCAATGTTGGCTGGCTGCTCACTGAAGGCCCACCGTGAAGGTCCACCTGGCTTAGTTTCAGTCACCAAGCCTCGGCCAGCTGGGAGAAGACCCCAGGAAACTGTGAAATGAGGCTGGGAAAGCATGGATGTGTTCTGCACTGGGTCTACCTGCCTTTCCTCATCAAAAGCGTCAGTGTGGCTCTTGTGCAGTTTGGTGGGATGACAAATGGATTGGTTGTTGGGAATTCTGTTTCAGGAAAGCTCTCGAGCCTGGAGAATCTGGGCTTCTAGCAGCACCAAATGGTTGTATGAGGAAACTAAATTCCTTTAACTCCTTTAGGAAGTTTTTACTGAAATCTGGCATCTGGTTGCAGCTGCAATGCTTATAATCATGGCTGTAAATGGGGACATAACTTCCGTCATTAGGGCAAATCTGTGCAAGACATGCAGGACAAAGGCATCAGCCACAGAAGGCAAAAACTAGATCCTAGAACCACCACTGCGGGGTTGCCACTGGCCCAGAGGCTACAGAGCCCCCCACAGAGCATAGCAGCCTGTGTGAAAGCCAGGGCTATCTGGAGTTCACTGACCATCTCCTTTGCTTTTCAGCACCTTAAGCATGACAAGGAAGATCTTCACCAACACCAAGGAGAGGTGGAGGCAGCAAAATGTGAACAGCGCCTTTGCCAAGCTGAGGAAACTCATTCCCACCCACCCACCAGACAAAAAACTGAGCAAGAATGAGACCCTCCGTTTAGCCATGAGATACATCAACTTCCTTGTCAAGGTCCTGGGGGAGCCAGGCCTGCAGCAGACGGCAGTGGCAGCTCGGAGCAGCATCCTGGGGTTCTTCCAGCAAGCTCCACACTTGCAAAGCGTGGAGGAGCTGCCACTGATTGAAAACTGTGGTGTCTCGTGTCCTGGCACCAATATAGTAGAGTGTTGGTCAGAAACATCATCTCCCTAGCAAGCAATGAGATGTGCAGTCTTGGTTTTAGTCTTGATAGTCCCTCTCCTTTTGCTCCTCTATGTATTGTGAATATTTATTCATATTTATTACTATTTTATTTGGTATGAATTTTTATTTAATAAGAAAGGAAATCCTTGGTCATCCACGAACTTGGAGGTCCAGAGGGAGAACTTGCAGTCTCTGGGAACTTGGAAGGACTTAGTGCTGTCATAGCAGAGTCCAAGCCAGAGGAGCCTTCTACCCAGATCTCCTCCATAAATCAGGCCATAGAAACTTATTCAGTGTTTCTGACAGGGAAAGAGATTATTCTCCCATGCTAATTCAAGGAAACACTACTGAGATGAAGAATGATGACTGCACCACAAAATTTGTCTAAGACAGACATCTGGCCTTGGTAGTGAAAGATTTTGAGGTATGTGATATTTGACACAGTCCTCCACCAGTTGTTCCAGGGGATAACTGCACTCACTCTTGAGCTTGTGAATCTTATTTCCAGCTTGATTCTTTTTTTTTTGAGAATGCAAGTCCTAGTCCTTGAACCTGGCTACATCACACTGGAGGGATCTCTAGTGTCAGAGCAAAATGTGGTAAATAAAATTAAATGTTAGGCTAAAGCAAAGTGCCAGTTTAAACTTAAAGAAGACATAGTTGTAGATGAGTTTGAGTGGGTTCAATAGGCAGAGTAAACCTCCTTTGTAGCAGTGCCAGTGTGCATGTGAAAGATGATGGTCAGCTATGCTCCAGATGCCTTAAAAGCCCATCAAAAAGAGGTTGGTGGCTAAATGTCTTTGCATATCCAGCTGACTGCCTTTAAACTCCTTGGTTTCCCCTGCTGTAGCTGAGGTTCTCCCACCTGGATGCTATCCCAAATGGGCTGATGGAGCAAGGACAAAGATATTGGTGTAAATGTCTTCATTTCATACAGCAAGTCATTTCCCTATAGGGAGAAACACCAGTCATCATGCTCATTGGTGTTTGGATGATAAGCAGGTTGAAAGAGGTTTCATGAAGGTGGTTTTATGTTATTGCCCAAAAAAACCAATTTAATTTCCTGGTTGAGTGTGTGCCATAAAAGGCCTGGGCTGCTCATGAGATACAAAGCAGCCCAGAGCAGCAGAAAAAATGACGCTGGCTTGAAGTAGAACACCTTCCTAGTCAGATCCCACTGACAAGTCCTTTGGATTTCCATGTGGACCAAGGTATGTGTCAAGGCTTAGAAGGGACAATTGTTCAGGACTGGTGAATAAATGTAGCTTCCTTAGGCCGAGGCACATTCCTGAGCTGTTTCTGTTTGTTCATGAGACAATGAGGTGCCTTCAGAAAGCAGAGATAGGGTTTATGCATGTAACATGTACAGCCCTTCTGCATGAGGGGATTTGGCACCTGAAGCTGAGCTGCCTTTCAAAGCCTCACCAAGCACCAGGTGCACCAAAGAAGCCAGGGCTGGCTCCTGCTATGGGTATATTGGGCTGTCCTGAGCATTGACAAAGACCAAGGACACAGCTCACCCCGTCCAGGACTGGTGTTGGAAGGCACAGGCATGCCAATGGACAGAGTTTGACAAAAAAGAAACTGAAAAAAACAAAAACCTGAAAGGGTTCCTTTGATTTCATTTTGGTTTTGAACACTGCTAATAGTCAGTTTGCTTATCCCTGTGCTGGTGAGCTGTCAGAACTGCACTGGAGGGCAGCTGAGTGAAAAGGCACTGAGAGTCCTTCATATGGCTTGTTTCTCATTGCCTCTGCCCACTGTAATGGGACTAAATGGAGCCACAGCCTTCTGTGCACAGCAGCACCTCAGAGGTAATGAGCCAAGTCCTCCTCCCAGCTTTCTGCTGGCTCACTGGAGTTACAACAGAACAGATTAGTCCAAGTAAATCAGGACACTTATTGGCGAGGTGTGGTGGTGCTCTTTGGTCTATCAGTCACTTGCTGTCCCAGGAAACACACAGTCACCAAGACAAGGCAAAACATCTTGTGAAAAGCTGTCATCCAGGGGAAGGGAAAGAAAACCTGGCAATTTTGTAACACGCTTGTTGTATTTTCTGTGCTAAAAAAACCCTTCCCTTCTTGTTATTGCTTTGGTTCCTATCTGCGTTTTCTTTGATCTCCTTTGCATTTAGAAGCTCCCTGCTCTCACACTCAGCAAGTATCTCACTAATCTATCTACCAAAGACTTTTTTTTTTGGTCAAGTTTCTTCTTTGTGTTTTGGGGATTTCTTATCTGTATGATCATGAATGCATACGGAGTAACTGATAATGTTTTGTGCTATATGTTGTTATTTAACTTCTAATATATTCCAAATAAATTATTTAAGAAACGTATCTTTGTCTTTTCTAAATTTCTCTAAACTTTTGTTTTACATTTCCATGCCACTTGGTAGAAGACTCCAAAAGCATTAAAACATAATTTCCAGTAGAGGATTTTTCTACTGTCTCTTATGCATGAGTCTTGGCGGTAGGAACAACATTATCAGACAACAAAGAATGACAAGGAATTTTTTGTTTATTACTATTTCTTACCCTTTTTGGTTGAATTACATTTCATCCTACATGCTAGGAAGATTTTGAAAAAGACAGATAACTAAAATTTCATTGTGCAACACTGTTATTTATCTCCTCCAAATATTCACAATTGAAAATATTATAATCAACTCCATTTTGAAAAGCATAAGCCACTCTAAAGAATTCATTTGGACTCTGAATCAGTTCTTATCTGAGTTGTTCAGACAGGCACAACCTACAGATTCAAACAGGAGTCCAGGTTCAGATATAAAAATTAATTCAAATTTGAGGGCAGTTTAGGATGTAAAGCTGTTCTTTCTGGATAACATCTGGTGGGAACAACCTAATGACCAACTGAATATGAGTCTGGGAGAGGAAGGGGAACACTAAGATGGCAGATGCAAAAGTTGTGAGGAAGAGATGGGAAATCACTGGCACACAGGGTCAGTTTCATGACTGGTTGAATGTCTCACATTCCTGACAATCTTCTGTGATACACCAAGAGAGGGATTTCTGTGCAAAATATGCCTCAGAAAGGTATCTTCTCAAGGGATTATGTATAAAAGTCATGAAATCAGCAAATGTGAGGTTTAAAATGTATTTATATGTGATGTCTGGTATCTATTGATACTAAGCAAGGCAATGCCACCTTAGAGAGGACCCTCTGCTTACAGCAGGTAATGCCAAATAAGTTTGTGTGCTGGAGATCATGGGGCAATGCCTCCTCTGGAAGTGGGCATGGCACAGCCATGTTAACACAGTGCTGTGAGATAATGGAATCTGTGCCGTGGAGATGTACCAAGTCATTTGGAGATGACTGAAAAATATCTCATACAGGTTTCTGCAGTGGCAAAGCCTTAGTATAAATGGCAAAAATGTCCCTAGGCTTAAGGATCCCGCTGTTCTCTCGTGACTAACAGTGCTAAATAGAGTTGTATGAATAGCATTCTTTTACCTTTTTTTTTCTTTTTTTGGTGAGGATATAGCTGTCAATATTGTAAGAAATGCCAGGTAAAGTGATATTTTCTAGAAGCATCTTTGATATCTCCTGGTAACAAAAGGAGTGATGCAAAGTAAAAAGAGTCATGGTCTCCTCCAACCCATGGTAATTCTGCAGAGGAGTGTGTGAGACATCCTCCCACAAGTTTGTGATGCAGAAATCTTAGTGAGAAATTCCTGTACTTGGAATTTCTAATGGGATCAGTGACAGAATACAGCTTCACATTTCAGTTAAAATTAGAAGGATTACTTTTTCCAGAGGCTGGGCACTAAGAGACAAGTTTTGCCACTCTTCAGCTACCCTAAAGCCTAAGAGAACTGATAGCAGGAGAGGTGCACTGTCACTGTACACTGCCCCTAAAAGTAACCCATGCATCACCAGCAACAAAGAGTGCAGGGTACTGTCCATCATGTCCACTTCCTCAGTATCCTCTTTGTGACTATGGAATGTAACTAAATTTGGATATTTGGGCTGGGTAAAGAAAGGAATAGGTTGCATCTGTATCTTGCAAGGATGCTGTAGTCTTGTGCATGAATCCTAGTGATGGCCAGCCTGTGGCTAGAGGAAGGGCAGGTCTGCAGACAAGGCTTTGGCCTGAAATTCAGTGGATTCAGATTCCTGCTGATGTGAACACACTGTGTTCACATAGTACTGGACAAGGCACAATATGATTCTAGGTCGGCATGGTGCCTTGTTTCTGGAGTGTTGCCCGTGCTGAGGAAGATTTTGTGGTGAGGCATGTGCTCAGCAGCCTTGTTTGTTGTACCTACTCTAAATCAGGGAGGAGGAGGGTACAATGAGCATCACGGAGGGAGACTCACAGGATATGCCAAATTAAGTGGCAGAACAGGATGTTGTAGGACACTAAAATCCTTGTGTTTCAGAGGCATATGATTTTTGAACTGTTTAGTAATTAATCTCCCAGTATTTAACCAATTCCCACACATTTCTTTGCTGCTGGGGAATGATATGCAGTGACCATGGCTGAAGTAGTGTGAGCAAGGCAGATCTGACTTTTGTTCTTTGAAGGCTGCATGATGAAAGGAGGTGGAGAGAATGGGCGACTTAACTACTGACCTATGGGGCAAAGGTCACTTGGGAGCCAGTCTTATATCTAAAGGTCATCGATAGAGTGACAGAGTCTAAATCCGTCATTTTTCAAGGGTGCAATTGTATTTTTAATACAGCAGGTGCTGAGAGAATCAAAGCAGAGAAGGTGGGAGGAAGCAGCTCAGAAAAGTACTTGGGTCACAGAAGGTAGAGATTGATTGCCCTGTGCCTGTCAGTGGTGGTTGACTATATTCATTATTGTTCTGTCTTAAGCCATGGGTAGCATTTTCATTGCACTCTGAGTTGGTCCAGCTCTTCTCTATAAGGAACAGAGTCTCATCCCATTGTATTTTCACTCCACCCCCTTCCCAGGTGTGCAAAACAAACATATATCCTGTCCCTCCGCAGTTTGTTTCACAACCATGGATTGCAAACCTAACAGACCAAACCAGAGGACTCCATGATAAGACTCTTTTGGAGAAGAGATGCCTCAGGCATTGAGAGCTAGAAGGAGAGGCAAAGAGCAGCCAAAGTTTCCATGGGTCCGTCTGCCCTGCTTGAGTATCAATGTCACAAAACAGCACAGAAGTGTTTCAGGATGCAGGGCAGGAAGAAAGTGAGACTCCTGTGGATCTCATTGTGGACTGCACTAGGTCTCAGGCAAAGTCTGTGACTTTTTTGCTGTCAAGCAATGCAGAGATATCCACAAGCACAGGGCAGGAGAGGTTTTGCATGCACCCTCCTCTCTGTCCCGTTGCAGATGGCTGGGGACACACTATCTCAGGGCTGGGCAAGGTCCCTCACTTTCTTTGAAATTACCTACACTACATCTTGAAAGACAGAGTCTTAGGTAGCTTAAAACCTTCATGAGAAGCTAAAGGATGACAGCCTACAGTCACCAAGTCTCCAGGGAGGCGTTCTGCTTCCCACCCTGTTGTTGTTGTTGAACGTAGACACTGTTTAGCACTGATTTTCTCTTAGTGACTGTATTTGGCAAACCCTGGTAGACAGCAGTGCTCAGTCCTAGGGCTGAGAAAGAGTAACAGCATCCAGTATTAACCGTGCCTTCAGATCCCAGCAGAATTACTGTGCTCTGTTTCATAGACGTACAACCAACCAAGACGTAACCTATAGATTCCCTCAGCTCAAGACTTCACAGTACTAAATTCCAGCTTTAAAAAGCTTAGATTTACTGGAAAGACCTGAACCCTCAAGAGGAAACGGTAATGCCTAAAAGCAGTTTGAGTGGAGGCCATTAGACTTAGTTAACCACGGAGGCTCAG